TTGTGGCCGGTCCAGCGGTGGTTTCTGCGGGACGGTCCGATCGGCTCAAAGTCTCCAATGGTGAGTGCGGTATGCACCGCGGGTCAGCCCATACGTACCAAGGGTTGGTCCGTACATGTGATCGTCCGAAAGCTCTTGTAATGCTACGAACTGCGAAAGTGTAAGGTTTTGATATTCTTCGGGAAAAGCTCTCAGAACTCCGAAAGTGTAAGGTTTACTCCGAAAGTGTAAGGTTTCCTGAAACAGTGAAAATCAAAACTAAAAATTAAAAAGCAAAAGTCCTAGAGTTTACTCTAGTCCTCAAACTTGTGGAACTAACAATCTCTCCCCGGCAACGGCGCCAAAAACTTGATGTGTGCGGGATACGTATCAGGTTTTAAAAATCCCATATAACACAATTAATAAGCTGCAAGTGCACAGCAATCAATCGTAGTACTTAGGGTATCGAATCCACAGAGAGAGAAGTAGTTCAGACAAGCTTATTAAGAAAAAGTAAAGCTAGGACAAAACAATAAAAGGGAGTTGGTTGTGGTGTCACAAATGCAAGTAAAAGTAAATGAGAAAGCAATAAGAAAGCAAAGTAAAAAGCAAGTAAATAACGTAAGAAAACTATGAGAGACAAACGTTGGGCGTCAAGGGTATCGCAGGGGGTTCAATGATCGCTATCTAAGTAATACTAGAATTAGGTTTGTTTACTTCCAAGTCTCGGACATACGAAACACTAAGATTCGGCTTATACTAGGTTATAGGATAAGTCGGCTAAAATCCTTATACTCCGTTACTCAACTAACGCAGGCAACGACGCATATATCAAAGCAATAAGATCAAATTCGATTCTAGTCCATAAAGCCCTATAACTAAGTGGTGTGTGCTTGTTATGACACGATACACATTCGTAAGCTGGGTCTAGCGTATTAAACAACCTTGTGAGCAATTTAAACACTTGGGATCACAAGTTAGGACATGAATCTAACTACATGCATTAAGAAAAAACTTACTTAGAAAGAATACAGTGTAAACGATCAAACAAAACCCTAGATATTGCCACCTAAACGATCGGCCATATTCCCCTCCCCCCCCCCCTTTGATTAACCCTTTAAACCCAACTAGAAAACTACTCTAGCATGGTTAAAGAGATCATCAAAGTTAGGTTTGATAAACTCATAAGAAAAAGAAGAATAAGAACTGAATAGGGTTTAGAGATTACTTCTTTGAATGTAGAATACAAGAGGTAAGACTTCACCTTAATAGGTCTTAGAGTAAACAAGAGAAAAGAGAGAGAGATTTGGTGGTTCTTCAGAACTTCAAGGAACGACGGCTGCAGCTCACAGCGAGGGCAAGGACGAACTCTAGGGCTTCACAGCAGCTCTTGGAAGACACTTCGAAGGCACACCTAGGGTTAGGGCTTCCATCATGTATTTATAGGGTTTGGAGACCAAGGATTAGGTCTAGGGGTAAAAGCGTCTTTTCCCGTGATTAGGTTTAAATGCAAACTCGAGTTTCATGCAAGGGAGAAGTCTTAAGGGCTGGTGTGGAGAGTGAGAGGCAGCCCGAGCTCGGCCCAAGTGGTCGGTGTGGCCCAGAAGCTCCGGATCGGTTGCATAGCTTCTGGCCGGTCTGGACATGTCTTCACTCTTCTGGTCATAACTTCGGATTGGCTCGTTGAAAAGCTCTGATTCCACTTCGAGGAGAATTCTGAATCCTTTAGCTTTCCATAGCCACCGAGATCTCTTGATTTGGTAATCGGGAAGACCTCGAACGGACGCCATACTTCTGACGCACAGAAACTGTCTTGATCTGGAAACGGGTTTTGATCGCCTATTGGTCTTTAAAGCTCAAAAACTCTTAAAACCTTCTTGGCTCCATAAATACTTGAATAACTCCTTCTTAGCTCTGAAATCACTCTAAATGCTCCCTAAAACATAAGAAAACAATAGTAAATATGAGCGAAAATCCCATGTTATCAATTATTTTATGGTAACGGGAATTGAAGTTGAACATCCTGTAGTTCATGTTCATACACAAAATGATTTGGCGGAATCATTAATTAAATGTCTGCAATTGATTGGAAGACCATTAATCATGAGATCAAAACTTCCAACCTATGTATGGGGACATGCCATTTTCCATGCAGAATCACTCATTCGGATAAACCAATTGCATATCATAAATACTCCTCATTACATTTAGCATTTGGTCGAGAACCAAATATATCACATTTAAGAAATTTTTGGTTGTGCAGTGTATGTGCATATAGCACCACCACAACGTACAAAGAAGGTTGGGTATATATATTGGCTATGATTCTCTATCAATTATATGATACCTAGAACCACATAATGGTGATGTCTTTACGGCACATTTTGCCAATTATTATTTTGATGAGAAAGTATTTCCGGTTCTAGGAAAGAAAATAAGCAAGTAGGAAAAGATATCAAATGGTGTGTACCATCAATGTTACACATTGATCCTCCTACAAAACAGTCAGAAATAAATTGTGGAAGGCTCAAACTTCAGGGACAACTGTATGTAAGCTTCTTTTTGTGTGTTCAAACAATGAATTTTGTCCCCGAAGTTTGAGCACACAGAAGGAAGGGCAAAATGATCATTACACAAGACACATGTGGTATAAGTGATAAATGGGCATGCAATGTGGTAGAATGGAAAAGATTTGGGCCAAATGTGGCATATGTGTTAATTTTCTCATATTACTATATCTTTTACTAAATAAATAACAAATTTTGAAAATTTCAGAGAAAGTTTGCCCAAAAGAAAAAGTTCAAAGACAATATTATAAATATTAGAATATTAGTTTTATTACAAACAATACCTTTTACTAAATAAATAACAAATTTTGAAAAGTTCAGAGATTCTTTCTTGTGAAAAAAAGATATAGGTAAATCAAGTGAGTTATTTTTGTCATTTAGTAAAAATCCACATTAGTCATAACTAAAGTTATAGTAGCGTAAATCAAATGTTTGTTTGGTCACAAAATGAATCTGTTTGGGCTAAAATTGTCACTCAGATTCGGATAAAATCATGTGGTTTTTATCTAGACGAATCATGTAGCATTTAATTTATTTCATTTTATAGTCTCTTGAACCAATTTTAAAAGTGTTTGGACATCATATAAAAGTTTGAACAATTTGATAGCTAAACACACATTTTACTTGTGTTTTCAAAAAGCTAGGTAACTTGTCTACGTTACTAGTATGAGAACACTTACCAATGAATGGTTTGATGGTCATGGTTGTTAGACTTTGCTAGGTTTAGCCACTTAACGTTTATCTGGGCATTCGGGTACCCGTTCGGGTTCGGTTCTTTTTTTTCGGGTATCGGGTCTATTCGGATAGGGGGTCAAGATCCATTCGGGTATTCTAAAAATTCGGTTCGGGTTCGGTTCGGGTCGGTTCGGGTATTTTAATAAAAAAGCAAAATACCCGAAAATAACCAAAAATACCCGGAATATTTTCGGGTTCGGGTCGAGTTCGGGTTTTTAACTCATATATACCCAAATCTAACCGAAATACCCGATTTCTCGAAAATACATTGGTTACTCTTTACCCAAATATAACCAAAAATATCTAAAATACCTAATATATTCGGATTTATGATTGTAATTTTAGGTATTTCGGGTATTATAAATATAAAAATAACTAATATTTTTAGGTGTATATTTGTATTTGGGTATATTCGGGTACATTTGGGTATTGGATTCGGTTCGGGTTCGGTTCGGGTTTTTTTCGGGTAGGAGGTTAGGACCCATTCGGATATTTTTAAAAATCGGGTTCGGGTTCGGTTCGGGTATTGTTCGGATTTTTTGGTTCGGGTATTCGGTTCCGGGTATTTTTCCGAGGCCTAGTTTATCCTCTTACTTCCTTAATGATAACTAGATTTTAACCCGCGGTGTACCGCAGGATGATTTATTTTTTAAAGTTAATATATATAAAATTTTATAAATTGTATCTCCTTATAAAATATTTATGTTTTATAGTTTATAATTATTATCAAGTAACAGTATATCACTAGTTCACCGAACAATAATAAACTGAGGATTTAACTCGCATTAAAGCGGCATGTTAATGATATTTTAAAATTTTATAAATATTGATTCAAACCCGTTCGCCATATAAATCCGTTCCAAAATATATATAACCCGTCCCATAATTTCTTAACCCATCCCGTTATTTGTTTTCTAAAAGTAGTGATTTTAAAATCTAATGATTTTCTATTATATATAAAGTTTATAAATTGTATCATTCTCTAAGACATTTATATTTTAATAAACTAAGGATTGAATCTGTATTAAAGCGACATGTTAATGATATTTTAAAATTTTATAAATATTGATTCAAACTCGTCCACCATATAGCCCGTCCTGTAATTTCTTAACCCGTCCCGTAATTTGTTTTCTAATATTAGTAAATTTTAAAAATTTAACGATTAATTATTATAGATAAAAGTTTGTAAATTGTATCATTTTCAAAGACATTTATATTTTATAGTATACAATTGTTATTAAGTAACGTTATACCACGGGACAATTTTTAATTTTATACAATATTTTCTAAATGAGACTGATTTGATATGTCTAATATTAATGGTATTAAAAAAAAATTAAGGATTTAATCTGTATTGAGGCGACAGATTAGTGATATTTAATCTTTTTATTATTGTTGATTCAAAAACCCGTCCCGCCAAAAAAACTCATTTATTTTATTAATGTTGATCTTATTTATGATATGATTATGAATCATTGTTTAAATATTTTAATCGATGTAGAACGTTGAACATACATTTTCGTCAATTGGATAATATATGTCCGTTTTTAAAATTTCGAATCACAGTATATGCAGATTTTTTTTTTGATTTTTTTTATTACTTTATGTATTATATTATGATTCAAAACAGTTAAAAACAAATCAAACAAACATGATAGGAGAATCAAAATTTTAAATTTTAATCAAATCTTCTAAATATCTAAATTATTAAATATGGAATATCCGGTGCAATAAATGGGTTTTATTTAATCCGATCCAAGTGTTTTTTTGTGAAGGAATTTTTAAAACGGGTCGGGTATCTGATATATTCGGAAGCATTTTTACCCACCCGTCAATAAAGTGTTGCAAAAATAGTAGTATTAGATATTACAACCACACAACATATATATACTACATTTGATCTTAACGTAACTAATTCATAATTATCAAAGTTTACCAACACAAAATAACCCATTAACATTGGGCCTTAATGCAACATGGCCCAAAGTCTTTTTCTTCTTTCTTCTTCTTTCACCTTACGACTTCTCTTTCTTCTTCCCTTCTTTCCAAAAAAACGATTTTAATTTTTAACTACGGTTGCATTGATAAACACATTTATAATATATAAAAAAGTTTGTTATTTTCTTTACCTCGTCGAAGAAATTGATGAAGATGAGTTCTAAGAAAAAGCTGTAGAGATTGATAACATCGTTGGCCGAGATTGCGGATCTGCTTGTAAACACGATAAAGCCACTTCCACCATCTTTATGAGCTTCTCTCTATTCTGCCCCCGTGGTTCTAATATACGTTCATCGGAAATGCTTCTCAGGGACAGAGTTTCTCCCGGAGACGAAGACAAACTCGCAACCAAATCTCCCGGATGCTTCCCCATTATAACCTCGAGTATCAAAACCCCGAAGCTATACACATCGCATTTCTCCGTCACCTTCATCGTGTAAGCAAACTCTGTTGCGAAAAGTTCAGAAACAGTCAATTTCAATTTCGAATTAATTTAGGGATTTTTTAATTTCATTGATTTAGATTTACCTGGAGCGACGTAGCCGTAGGTTCCAGCAACGGCGGACCAGTTTGATGAATCCGTCTTGAGAAGCTTCGCTGTGCCAAAATCAGAGATCTTAGCTGTGTAATCATTATCGAGAAGGATGTTGCCGCTGCTAATATCACGGTGGACGATCGGAGTTGATCGGTCATGGTGCATATACGATAACGCGTGAGCCACACCTTTCACGATGTTGATCCTCTTGGTCCAAGTGAGTCGCTTAGCTTCTTCTTCGTTGGCTAAGAGTTTGTTTAAACTTCCTTTTTCCATGTACTCGTAGATCAGAAACGTGTGGCGGCGGTGGGAGCAGAAGCCGAAGAGCTTCACCACGTTGCGGTGACGGATCTCTGTTAACGCTCTTACTTCGTTTAGGAACTCTTGCTTCACCACTGGCTTTGATATCTCTTCGTCTATTGTATCATGTAGCCTTTTCACGGCTACGATCGCATCTGGGAGGTTTGCTTTGTAGACTTTGCTGTATCCTCCGCTTCCGATGAGGTATCTTTGATCGAATTCGTTTGTTGATTCGATGATATCTTGGTATTTGAATTTGCCATCAACGCTGAATATGGACATATTCTCTCCAGTTTCAGAATCTGTGTTTCTTCCATTGTGTGGTTTTCGTTTCCGAATGTAGTAGGTAAATGCGCCTGCACATATAGAGAGAATGACGAGTGCTCCTAGGATTGGCACTAGTATCCACACAAGAAGGTTGCCGTTCTTCTTCGGCTTTTGGAACCCACCAGAAGTGATAGGGCATGATTTCAACCTTTGTTTAGGAATATTACTGCATAAGCCTCTGTTTCCCTCCAATGCATCTGATGTTGCGTTTTGAAACGCTGGATTGTCTGGAAGCGGACCCTCGAGTTTATTATTTGATATATCGATGAACGTCAGCGCTTTCATGCTCTCGAAAGTTGTTGGAATGAAACCTGAGAGATTGTTGTGTGAGAGGTTGAGCTTGTCGAGGCTCTGCAAGGAGCTGAGCTGTGATGGGATTTCTCCGTCGAGCTGGTTGTGGCTGAGATCAAGATGCGTTAACTGAGTCAGCTTTGTTAGTCCGGGAATGCGTCCATCGAAATTGTTTTTGCTCAGGTTCATTTCATGAAGCTTTAAAAAGGAGTCGAAGGTTTGTGGGATCTGGGAGCTGAATCTGTTTGAGGATAAGTCAAGAGACTCAAGATTGGTTAAGAAACTTAAACCCGTAGGAACTCTTCCAGATAACTTATTCCCATTCAGTAGTAGCTTCGACAAACCCGTGAGATTTCCAATTGCTTCTGGAAGCTCACCAGTGAGGTTGTTGGTAGACAGATCTAGCTCGCCCAGTTGTTTCATGTTCCAAATCTCTGGTGGAATAGCACCTGTGATGTTGTTGTTTGACATGATCAAGGCACCTAGCTTTGGACTCTTCTGCCAGTTGCTTGAAATTTCACCGTTGAATTTATTATGGCTGAGATCAATGAAATCAAGATCTGGGTAAACCCCAAATGCTTCAGAAATATTTCCAATGAATTTGTTCCCTACAAATTTTGCTCTGATCAGGCTCTTGCAATCTCTCAAGCTTTTCGGGATATGACCTTCGAGGTGATTATAATCTAATGAAAAATTCTGAAGCTTGCCACCTTTGCAAATGTTTTCAGGCAAGAAACCGGTGAAATTGTTTATGTCGAGTAGCAATTCAGTTAGCTCTGAAGAGTTTGCCACTCCTCGCGGGATCGTACCAGAGAGGTGGTTATCACGGAGGTACAAACTTTCCAGCTTGGTAAAGTTACCAAAAGAAGAAGGAATTGAACCAGTAAGATTGTTCTGACTTAACGCTAAATCAATCATGGATTCCATGTTGCCTAGTTCCGGGGGAATGACACCAGTAAGATAATTGTGATGAAGATAAAGAACCGTCAAGTTCTTGAGATTTCCTAAGGAAGAAGGAATTGAACCGGTAAGTTTGTTGTCACTTAACTCTAAATCAATCATGGATTCCAGGTTGCCTAGTTCCGGGGGAATGACACCAGTAAGATAATTGTGATGAAGATAAAGAACCGTCAAGTTCTTGAGATTTCCTAAGGAAGAAGGAATTGAACCGGTTAGTTTGTTCTCACTTAAGTCTAAATATGTCATGGATTCCATGTTGCCTAGTTCCGGGGGAATGACACCAGTTAGATAGTTCTTATAAAGATAAAGAACCGTCAAGTTCTTGAGATTTCCTAAGGAAGAAGGAATTGAACCGGTAAGTTTGTTGTCACTTAACTCTAAATGGATCATGGATTCCATGTTGCCTAGTTCCGGGGGAATGACACCAGTTAGATAGTTCTTATAAAGATAAAGAACCGTCAAGTTCTTGAGATTTCCTAAGGAAGAAGGAATTGAACCGGTTAGTTTGTTCTCACTTAACTCTAAATCTGTCATGGATTCCATGTTGCCTAGTTTCGGGGGAATGACACCAGTTAGATAGTTCTGATAAAGATAAAGAACCGTCAAGTTCTTGAGTTTCCCTATGGAAGAAGGAATTGAACCGGCAAGTTTGTTATTAGAAAGAGAGAGGGCTTTGAGGTTTTGCAAATTGCCAAGCTCAGGTGGGATTTCTCTAGTTAAGTGGTTTGTGGAGAGGTCAAAGTAGATGAGTTTAGAGAGGTTTCCGAATTGAGGAGGGATGGTTCCAGAGAAACGGTTCATGCTAAGATCAATTGAAGCAAGGTTTGGGAGAGAAGAGAAGGGGAAATCTTGGAAAGTACCTTCTATAGCGTTGTCAGTGAGGTTTAACTTTTCGATACTCCCTCGTGAGTTGCAAAAAACACCATACCAACTTGTGCAGGAAAAGCTAGGATTGGTGTTTGCATCATTGACCCATGAAGACAGCTTTGATGAGTGACTCTGGTTCGTGAAAGTGGATTTCCATTTCAGAAGAGCATTTGCTTCTGCGATAGTTGCAGAAGCTGAAATAGAACAGCTCAAAATTATGGATATGAACAAAAGAAAACGAAGATCATAAGAATTCTTCTCTGCAAAACCCATCCTCACTCACTCTCTCACTCCCTCTTATCTCTCTCTCTTTCTTGGTGTTAGATAAAGCTATCCAAGTTCTGGCTATTTAATAATCCTCATTTGCACTCAGTGATTGACTTGGCGTCGTCTCCTTGATAATGATGGACTAACCCCGCAGTTCTTCGTTGAACATTCTTTGTAAGTGAATGAATATTGTTGGTCGTTAGAGAAAGCTATCCAAGTTCTGGCTATTTAATAATCCTCATTTGCACTCAGTGATTGACTTGGCGTCGTCTCCTTGATAATGATGGACTAACCCCGCAGTTCTTCGTTGAACATTCTTTGTAAGTGAATGAATATTGTTGGTCGTTAGAGAAAGCTATCCAAGTTCTGGCTATTTAATAATCCTCATTTGCACTCAGTGATTGACTTGGCGTCGTCTCCTTGATAATGATGGACTAACCCCGCAGTTCTTCACTATTGTTCCTTTTTTTTCCCACAATTTGCTTGGCTATTGTTTCACGGAAGAAAAAAAAAATCTAACGTTGTCGTATTCAAAATTCTTTTTTTTCCATAGTATACGTTTTCATATAGTCTAGCATTTTAGGATTTTCATAGCTAAAATTTTCAAAGTTTTTAATTTTTTTATGGGTAAAATGATAATGGTGTTTAAATTAGGGGGTATTATTCAATCATGAAATTTAAATTTATGCACACTCCGATATTATTCAATTATATACTATAAATTATGCATTAAAATCTAGTGTTATGATATTTGTAAATCATGCTTTAAAACTTTTAAAGTTTTGGTGCTATTCGATTTAAATTTTAAAATATTTCATATTGAATTCTAGTGTTCTAAAATTGATTTTTTTTGAAAAACTTTGCTTCCTAACTTTGATATCTATTGGAAAGACAGTTGACAATTCGAATTTTTTGTCCGTTTGACCAAAATAGAATTATCGTTCTAAGTAGTGATGCTTTATGTTAGAAAGACGGATCCATGAAAATTTTAGCTATCCAAAAGTTAAGCTTATTCAGAAATCCAACAACAAAAAAACTTACAGTAATGGTTTGATACTTCTTCCTTACTTCAAATTATGTTTCGTTCTAGATGTATTTACACATAGTAGATAATAAATTATTTGTTTTTAAAACAGTTTTTGTGAAACAAACACAAAACTATAAAACATTACTTAATTTAAGACGGAAGGAGACAAATACTTCAATGTATTGGTTTGTTACTCAAAGAGAAAAAGCACTCATTCAATGTTTTGCTATGCATGGCTAGGTTTGGACCGGATCCGGATATCCGGCTTTTTTTAGGGTATCCAAATCCGGATCCAGCCTGATATGCCCGGATCCGCCTTTTCATTATCCCGATCCGGATCCGTTCTACCCGGATATCCGGATTTCGGATATCTATAAAAAGAGTCGGATCTTCGCCGGATATCCGGATCCGGGTTTTTTTATATAATTTTTTTATTAATATAAAATTTGAAAAAAATATTAAAAACAAATAATTTAATATAAATAATTAAAAATATTATTAAAAAATATTATTCTTATATAAAGGGAGACTCACAAAAATGTCCCTTTTTCAATACCCTTTTTCAAAAATGCCCCCTCCCTAATAGCTTCACTGAAATTGACCATTTTACCCTTAATGAGGCTTTGAATCAGGTTATAACCTAATTAAAAAAAAAATCTGGGCACGCCGTCACCCATATCCATACCCACAGGTTCTTAATCGAAATTTCAATTGCTGATCAAATCTTCATCATTCATCCGTTGAGAGTCAAATTGAGAGTTAAATCGACCTTCTTTTTCTATCAATATGATGAATCTCTCCGATCTGGATTCTCAACTCTTTGTAATCACACAAAAATCCTCTTTAATCTCTTCTTTTTCGGCGTAATTTTGATTTCACAGTTTCAATTTCGATTTCAAAATCAATTGTTGTTTTTGATTGTGGAGTGATGAATCATGGGACTAGATTGTTGTTTATGTGCAGTGGATTACGTCTTTTGTTTCCTGGAGAAGAAAGGCTCGTCAACTTACTTTTGCTTTACCACTTTTTCTTTCTAGCACACGAGTAAAGTACATTAATAACACTTTCTTTTGTCCATTATTAAACAATCTGATTCTTGCATAATGGCCTAATGAGTACATGTGTTAATTTATAAGACTGGAAAGACCTTAAGATTTGATATTATATTGTTTAGTTTGAGTTTTATGTGGTTTTGGTGCTTCTGATTTGTGTTCATAAGATTTTCAGAGAAATGATTGTGATTTGTGTTGTGGATGTGATCTAAAATATATTGTAAACTCTTTTAAATACACGTTGTAAAACTTTTAAAATATCTTGTAAAACATTTTAAAATTTTTAAAATAACTTTTAAAATACTTTGTAAAACATTTTAAAACCTTTAAAATACCTTGTAAAACCTTTAACCTTGTAAAACCTTTAAAATACCTTGTAAAATCTTTAAATTTTAAAAACCTTATAAAACCCTTTATAAAATATTTTCAGTTTTATAAATCATCTTATACCTTATAAATACTTTGTAAAACCATTAAAAAACCATGTAAAATCTTTAAAATATCTTGTAAACTCTTTTAAAACATGTTGTAAAACCTTTAAAATACCTTGTAAAATCTTTAAATTTTAAAAACCTTATAAAACCCTTTATAAAATATTTTCAGTTTTATAAATCATCTTATACCTTATAAATACTTTGTAAAACCATTAAAAACCATGTAAGATCTTTAAAATATCTTGTAAACTCTTTTAAAACATGTTGTAAAACCTTTAAAATACATTGTAAAACCTTTAAAATACCTTGTAAAACCTTTAAAATACCTTATAAAACTAACATCACTATTTCATCAAACACATGTATTGAGTCACTTGTTGTATAATAATAGCAATCACTTTAACAATTAAAGCACCAAATATAACTATCAATAGTGTTACATGGGATTTTCTTATGTTACAAACTTATAAAATATGCATACAAGTTGAGTAAGTACTTTGTGGTACGTACAACATGGAACAAAATCATCATCAAATTTCTACTTTTCCAACGAATGCAATCGTATCAGAAGACGAGTTAGGAGGGTTTGGACATGTTTGATTCATCTTGTCAAGCTTCTTAGCAATGCCCAAAACTGTAGAACCTCTAGGTGAGGTGATTTGGTTCAATCTGCAGGTTATTTGAAAATATATGCACATGATGCTTGTCTTGAGGTGCTTTGCTTCAACCTGCAAGGATCTATACTAGCTGAGAGTGTTTTCGTGTGAACCTTTTATCATGGAACCAAACATTTGAAGT